CGATCCCAATACGAAGTTCGCGAACATCAGGGATATCCATCGGGCTCAAATCGAAGCGGGTGAAAAGGAGGTTATCACGGCTGAATCCAGCGACTCTGAATGCCCTAGTGAGGCTGGCAGCTGTATTGTAGTGGGTGTGGTTGAGGATCAATAGTTAATAGTAATGAGGAGGTTGGGTTGTGATCCCATCGTTTTTGTGGTGCCAGAAACAGGGGGGTGCCAGGAAGTGGGTATGTTGACTTATGGGATCCCAAAGTCTCATCATCGTAATCAAGCAGTCGCTACTTCGGTACTTTAATGTAAAGCAAAATTTCGCCGGGAGTGAGTTGTGACTTGTTTGATTCTGCTGGTGACTATGGTAAATGAAACTCGATCGGAATCTGCAGCAAAGTGGAAAAGGCTCTAACGGTCGGGCGGTCTCCCAAAAGATCGATATCTCAGCCAAAGGTGGCCCCCGCAGCGACTGCGAGCTGAGTTGGCCTCTCACCATTTCACCCAACAACCGAGCAACTTGCCAACACGGAAACTTCGTAAAGGTATGAAGTGTACTCGATTGCCATTAAGCAATTTGCGATAGAAGCAACATATTCAAGTCACCAGAAAGTTCACAGCCTGCGAAATGGAGCTTCTGGTGTGTCTGTGGGGGCAGGCTGCTGGACAGCTCATGACGCACGATCCGCATTGAATCGAGAATGTGTCGCTTTCGCAGCCACCATCTGAGGTAGCTCCCCTAGTTACTGTCCTACTTCAATTCCGCTGCTCAACCTGTCCGGACGACTTAGTCATTTGCTACATACTCGGATTCTATGCGGTTGAGAGTACCATTCATGTGGAATTCGAGATGTACGCAAAGACCGTTGTCTTCGATGGCTCCGACCATGGGTCAACCCCGACCCACTATTCAGAACATGGACCAATAGCCATGCGAGGGCTAGACTGCCACTTTGCTTCACAGTCGTGTCGTGACGGTTGACAGGACCAAGGATGAGGAAGGGAACACGACAATCAAGGCTAGCTATGCATGTCGATATGATTTCTAGCATAGTACTGAGGTAAAGGTAGCCAGATCCACCATCTAAGAACACAGTCAGCTCGATATCGAAGAAGTCACCAGGGAACGCACCTCCCTGGGGAGGGTTCGTAGCCCCAGGTTGCCAGTCCTCGTAAAACCATCTCCCCTAGGCACCCCTCTCAATCTTCAGCAACCAACGCAGACTTGCACGTATTCCTGGTCTTCAGGATGAGCCCTCGGTCGCATATGAGACAATAGACCTTTGCCCCTTCCCAGGACCCTTCGTCGCGACAGGATACGCGTGCAGTCACAGAAAGGGGACTAATGAGGTGTCACAACCAGGCCCATACTGCCAATACGTTCTCGTCCGCCGCGTTTGTCGAAGACACAAAGCAATCTCCAAGCGAGCTACAAGCGCAGACTATCGCGTTTACCCCCGGAGATACGAACATAGTAAGCCACGTGTGTGGACGTGGAAGACTAGAATACCGGGGAACCCCTCGTTGCGAGCCCTCGTGCTGAAGTGCGCCTCTATCCCCTCCTATACCTAGCTTGACGACATTATTCAACAATACAATGGAAGTTTTGGTCCAGGATCCGTCGGTGGCAGCGCTCTGGCATACCTGGTCGTCGTCTGCGATGGTGGGCGAGAGGTCGAGGATAATACAGTGACTTACCTATGTACCCTTCCCCTTCCCGCCCCCTCAACACCATGTTACTAAGTCAGGCGCAATGCCATGACGATGGAAAGATATGCAAGGTGTAAATCCCCGTACAGCCCTATATTGTGACTACTCCACTCCATTTACGCCCCATGGCATATGCGCCCCGATGACTAAAACCCTTCTGCCATCGTCGCGTATCTACCCAGTCCTCAATAAGGACTCTATCGTGCGAGCAGCTGCTGGGTGCTCTACATGTCGAGCGACTTACCCCCCATAACTTATGTACCTAGACAACTGTCGCGAGGAAGCGTTTATTTGTTCTCCCCATCACTAGCAACTAAAGCGCGGGTATGCTAGGGCAATTGGCGCCCGATTATCCAATATATGCGCGGTGCTAACTCGGGCCGCACAAACTTCTAGGCCAAACAAAGCATCTGGCGGAAGGGGTTATGTCTCTTCAAGTGAAACCCCCATCGGTGTTGTCAAACCCACTGCGATGCCCAAATCCATGCAGTTTCTCTCCTTATCCCCGTTGTCCCATTCCGCGATGGCAAGTCGGAAGAAGGTTTCGGGATGCCTTGAGGAAGTAACCTGCTTCCCTAGGTGTAGTTCCATGTCGTTAAATAAGGATAGGAACCAAGCAAGACGATATGAGAAGGATACAGAAGAGGATGGGTTGGCTTGTTGTGAGGGTCTTATGCTAGGTTCTCCTGGAACATTACCTTGGGTCGATATTTTAGCTGGAAGTAGGATGAGACAAAGGTTCTGAGGCGTTCAGATGCTTTCCCTGTCAACTTAAAGGGTCTCTATTACTTCTTGAACTCGCTGGGAAGACCCTGAAGTGCTTTATTATGATTGGGTTCAGGGGTAGTCTTCCCAGCAGACAACTCCTGCGATCGCAGGCTCTAGCCTCCCGCCCCCGTTACTGAACTTCACTCCGCAGCCACGCCCAATTCAGTGCCCCCTACGTGGTGGAAGACCGGTAACCCATAGAGAGGCCATTGGGGCTATCTCTGGGGTCAGTATCGTCGGATATATGAGTTGCAGTACTCGGAGTTGATGGCTGGACAGACGGTCAGCAGCCACCCCTACCCCGGGCCACCCCTGACCACCCCGAAAAAGTACGTTCCGGTAGGGCGGCATGCCTCACACAGCGGCTGAGACTTATTCCTCGCAGATATCTAACATCATTGGGCACTGGAATACCTTGCGGAAGTAACAGCCTGACCATATTATTCTACCTTGTCGGTATCCAAAAGTTATTTCAAGGTAGTCGGCATCGTCATGCATGCAGCACCAGCTACCCCCATCGTCCATCTATCCACCCAGTCTTCCAGACCCAGGTCGTAGCAGGATAGATGACGTTATGTTGAAAGTCACTGGTAATGTCTTATTCAGGTCAGCCCCTTCTGAAGTCTTTTTCCTCCAATATGTAATCATACTCCTGAGTTAACTATGGTGCAATGCTCCCCCCCCCCCCCCCACGCGTTGGCGGGACTGGCCCCCAGATTAGCGACTACAACCACTCGTGTCATTATTATACGCCTACAGGCCAAGAGTCTCTCCCCAATTGCGCTTATTACTTCCGAGACGTGGTAGTCTCGCCGTTTTCAACTTCACGTTAATCCCATCCAAGGAAAAGTGCGCTTTCGCAACCGGTCGAGCCTTGGCACTCTAATGCAATGATCCCACCGGTTTAGGGCCGGCCCGCCCCGTGAACAAGATGCAAAAGCCATTGAACATGAAGGCTACAGTGTCCTCACATATACTGTGAGATTTGAGCTTACTACTCATCGCATCTAGTTACGTCTCATACATCTTAGGGTTACCTAGGGTTAGCAGTCCTGAAGACGCGGAAGCGCAGGCCGGCTTGGATGACGACCAGCCCCCGGCGAGACCATGAGCCAGCCCGGCTCGTTTCGTATGTCCAGTCTGTCTTGCTGTGGGATGATTCAGCCCCCTCGTTGTTGCCCTTCAAAAGCTCTGTCAGTAATGGACTTGGATGCGCTATGTAGACATGTGCTGCAATACCATCCCTTGAAGTCGTGTCTCCTTGGCAACCAATTGTCGTCCGTATACCCTACCCGAAATCGAAACCTCCCGGCCCTGTATCGCCATCCTCGCCAAGCAGCGGGGACGGATCACACGCCTGTCATGTTTCGACATACCTGACTTATTCATTCAACGGTGAGATGTAAGCATGCAGCTACGGGTTCAGCGCCGGTGGAGGCACGACAGGTACGACGTCGCGAAGCGCGACCAACGGCTAGATGCGAAACATCGAGACATGCTGCAGCGCTGGTCCAGAATTCATGGAGGTTGATCCGCTGGGCTGTTCTGAGTACAAGTCGAATTTGGAATTCTGGGGTGCGTTTTCGCCTAGCGGTGAAGTTCCCGGCACCGCCTCCAATCCCGTTTGGTAGCGGCGGAACTCCGAGTCAGTCGGCGCCGTGGAGAGAGCGACCGCCGCTGCGGCCCCGACCATCTCCCCCTTATGTGGGCTACGAATTAGGTGTGTGAGGGGTAGAGCAGAACAAACGGCACCACGCGGCTCCGTGTGACTCGGTGGTTGCAAGTTTACGCCTGCACGTCACTGACTAGAAATCGTTACTCGTGACTAGATCTGAATCTTAGGTGAGATCGTGTCAGACTAGAGGTGAACTAGCGGATGGAGGGCCACGTGGGAGGACAAGGTATGCAGATATTGTAACGTTCGGAGTAGGCATGAGGTTCAAGAGATACGGCCTACGCCACGTCCGAGAAACATTCATAATGACAGCTTCCAGAATGGCATGAAGCTCGCTAAACGGGAAATGCGGAAAAACACTTATGGGCGACGGACCGCAGTGTAAGAAAACCATAATTTTGCCCAAGTCCGGCAAACTCAGGAGCTTGTCGCCGGCTACGGACCCTTTTGCCGGTTCTGACCAGGATGCGACAAACCGTCGTGGGCAGAATTTCCGGCCAGGTTTTCTTGTGTATTGGTTTGGGCGGCTTGTCACCCTCATTCTAAGATCCTCATATGCACTAACCCGAGTCAAACGGCTTTTTAGTCTGTGTTGCTTGACTCTCGCTGTTAACACCTTGCTGAAAAACCACTGGTAGAATCGATCTCCTCATCATTACGTGCTGGAAGGGAACCGGCCCCTCCTCCACTTGTCAGCCAAGATGGCCATTTCGGGCTTCCTGCGTGCTGCATCACGACAAGGTTGGAATTGGTATCGCATTGGCTATCGTCGGTGACACTTCCGTATAAGAGCCTCGAGGCATCCCCGTCGCCAATGCCCATCCTTCCACCTTCGGTGGTACTAGTAAGACTATCCTGCGACTAGATACGCTCGCTATATACCTGCAACGATAATCACTGCACCTTACCCGACAATCGCCCTATTGCAAGTCGTATCCGTGCACAGGACACGGCTTGTCGCCATGCTCCTCCTCCTCCTACTCCTCGCCGCCGTCACCGTCCATACCCTACGGACCCGGCGCACGCGCACGCGCCTCCGCAAACTCGGAACCCACCAGGGCCATTTGCTCCCGCTCCCGCCCGGACCTCCGGGTGAACCAATCCTCGGCCACCTCCGCATCGTCCCAACCGACAACCCAGAACACGCCTACGCCGCCTGGTCAAAAGAATACCGCTCCGACATCCTCTCCTTCAACGTCCTAGGCCAGCCCATCATCGTCCTCAACTCTGTCCGCGCCGCCGTCGACTTGCTCGATAAGCGGGGCGCAAACTACTGCGATCGCCCGCGCTTCGTGCTATTCGAGGAGATGGGCTGGCGCAAGACGCTGACGTTTATGCGGTGGGGCTCGGAGTTCCGTATGCATCGCAGCATCCTGCAGCGGAGCTTTTCAAAGACGAGTGTGCAGGTGTATCGCGAGCTACAGGAGAGGGAGGCGTTGATTTTGGTCAGGGGGATTATACGAGACCCTGGGTCTTGGGAGACGGCGTTGCGGAGGTTCGCGACTGCCGTTGTGATGAGGATTGGGTTCGGTGTGAATGTTGAGAGTGATACTGATCCGTATATCCAAATGGCCACGGACGCATCATACGCCCTCGGCCACGGCGGGGCGCCGGCTGGGACACTTGTCGACTTCTTTCCCTTTGTGCGGCATCTACCCGACTGGCTGGTGAGAGACCGATCACTCCGCTTCGCGCGGACCTGGAGCTGGGCGATCCGCCAGATCCACAATGCCCCCTACGCCGCCGTGACGGCCAAGAGGACCCAGGACCAAGAACACAGTCTCACTAAAATGCTGCTGGAGCAGAGGGCAGAGCAGATCAAATCCGGCATCGCGCCAGAGCTGTCGGTAGACGACATCAAGGGCGCCGCGGCGGCGGTCTATGCCGCGGGGCAGGACACGACGTGGTCGACGCTGGTAGTCTTCGTCCTCAACATGGTTCTTCACCCCGAGGTTCAGGAAAAAGCGCAGAGGGTGCTGGATGAGGTCGTCGGGAATGGGAGGATGCCTTGCTTCGAGGACCGGCCGAGACTACCGTACATTGACTATATCGTCCAGGAGACGCTGCGGTGGTGCCCCGTATCCCCGCTCGGTGTGCCGCACCGCTCGCTGGAGGATGATGTGTACGACGGCATGTTTATACCAAAGGGATCGTTCGTGTATGCCAACGCGCGGGCGATGACGCACGATGAGCGGACGTATGCTGATCCTGAGGCATTTGACCCGGAGAGGTACGTCCCTGTTGAACAGGGCGGCCGCGGGGAGCCGTTTCCCGTGGGGCAGTTTGGGTTTGGGAGGAGGGTTTGCGTTGGAAAGCATCTTGCGGAGGCGAGCATTTGGATTGTGATTGCTTCGATGCTCGCGACGGTCAAGATTGAGAGGGTGAGAGGGCCGAGGGGGGAGGAGATTATACCGCTGGTGGAGTTGACGAATGGACTTACGAGTCACCCGAAGCGATTCCCGTGCCGGATTATACCCAGGAGTCCTTGTAGTGCAGAGATGGTTATTTCGACAACGTTATAGGTGAAGCCTACTGTGGGATTTGAGAACGAGTGTATTATAGTATAAATTGCATGCGTAGCTGGTCATCATTGCTGAATGTCGTAAATATTCCCTATACTTTGGACGCTAACCGCCAAACGACCTGGAACGATACTATGCATTACGAGTCTTTGAACACTATAATACCAATCACGTGAGGTTCCGTTTGTCTACATGTTATTCACTTGGCGGTAGCGGAATTATCGCATTTTACTAGTGTCCAAGATTCAAGGAGATATTAAGTAACTATCAAGCTAAAAGTACAACTACAGACAAAGGAGATCTATAAAATCGACTATGGCCATCCCTGCTATGGTATCATCAAACTCGTGAATCAGGCATAAGCCACCAACGCCGATCTACCCCAATCATTCAAATGAGTGTCTGTGATATTATCAATCATCCTTTACTTGGACCCGTTGATCTTGCCGTTGTTCTCGCTCTGCATGGCCTGCATACCGGCGTTCATCTTGCCAAACTGCCACTCAGGCAGAGTGATGCCAGTCTGCTCGTTGATGGTCGTCATCAGGGGAGGCAGCATCTGGTAGACGTTGCGCATGGTATCAATGCCAGAGTTGCCACCTCCCTCGCCAGAACCCTGGCTACCCGTGTTCCAGACGCTGATCTTGGGCTGCAGGCCGCGGATGGCCTCGGCATTGGCCTTTGCGAGCTGGACGTAGGTGCCCTTCTCGATCATGAGGTACTGCAGCAGACCCGCGGGACCGCCAAAGGCAGTCGACATCTTGCCGTAGGCGTCCGCCATGGCGGCCATACCCTCGGCCTTCTTGAGCATGATGGCGAGGTCGGCCTCGGCGTTGAGCTGGGCAGAGTACTGGTGCGCCTCGGCGTCCTGGCGGGCCTTGTAGGCGTTGGCGTCGGCCGTCTTGGTGGTGCGGTTGAACTCGGCTGAGGTGTGCGCGTCGGCATCCTTTTGCGTCTTGAAGGCCTTTGCCTCGGTCTCGCGCTGGCTCTTCTCAAAGTTGGCCTTGGCGTCGGCCTCAATGGCGTATGCCTCAGCGTCGGCCTTTTGCTGGCGGGCCTCACGCTCGATTGTGGCCTTCACGACCTCGGTGGCACGCAGGCGCTCAATCTCGGCGGCGGCGCGCTTGACCTCGACCTCGCGCTTGAGGTCCTCGTCCTTGGACTCGAGGGCGCGGCGGGCCTCGACGCGGGCGATCTCGACGTCCTTGCTGAGGGAGGCCTGGCGGGTGTCGAGGTTGGCCTCGGCGGTGGCGCGCTCGATGTCGCGGTCCGTCTTCTGGACGGCGGTTTCGGCGTTGATCTTTGCAATCTCGCGCTCCTGCTCGCCCTTGCGCTTCGACTCGCCGACGTTACCGCGCAGCTGGGCCTCGGCGACGTCGATCCTGGCCTGGTTGCTGGCGCCCTCGTGGGCCTTGCGGGAGAGGGACTCAAAGTAGTTTGAGTTGGGGGCGTCCTTGAGCTCCTTTACGTTGGCGTTGTAGATCTTGAGGCCGAATTGGCTGAGCTCGGACTGGATGTTGCGGAAGATACGGCGCTTGAAGACTTCGCGCTCGGTGAAGATCTCTTCCATGGTCATGCTGGAGACCAGAACGCGGACCTCACCCTCGATGATGCCCTTGACGATGTTCTCGAGGTGGACGAGGGAGCTGGTCTTCTTGTCGGCGGACTCGGCGAGGAGCATGGCATACTTCATGAGAGCGTCGCCGCGGTCCTCGCGGCGGTTGGAGGAAATGTAGCTGTCGTCCTCATCGTGTTGCTGCTGGTCGGAGGTCTCGGAGTGGTGGCTCGATTGATGAGCGGCGTTGGCACCGCGCTGATTGACATCGGGGCCTACAGTGAAAACAACGGGCAGGAGGAATTGAAGCTTCTCCTTGGTCATGGCCTGAAGGCTCATAGCATAGTCGTGGGGAGTGATGCGGAAGCGCATGCAGCGTTGAAAGGGCCATACCCAGGCGGCCTTTGTGATCTTGACCGTCTTCACGGACATACCCGTGATGGCGAGGTATTCATCGGGGGCGGCGACTCTGTACGACATTTTGGCGGTGTTGTATGGGTGGAAGTGAGTGAGGGTAAGGTAAAGATGGAGGTAGGGTTGGCAGAGGGAGAAGAGGGTGAGATCTTTAAAAGTGGCCGCTTCTCAACGAGTCTGTTACGAGAAGTTCGAGTAGTATATAAATGGATGTTTGGAGCAGACGTTGCTGGCGTAGATTGCTCGTTGGATTTGTAGAGTGATCCCCCTGTGATAGACAAGAAGACTCGGGGTATCTTGAGGTAGCTCTATGTTGGTGTGACACAACACTGCAAATAGGAGGAACCATTCTATTATATACCTTGGGAGCACGCGAGGCAGATCGAAGCTCTACCTAAGCTCTAAGCTCAAGAATGGACTCACATCATGTCACCTACCTTGGCATCTCGGGTAAGGTAGTTCATGGCTGGGGGCAGACGCCCAGCCAAGCAAGCAACTTAGCGGCGGTAAACGGTTGCGACTAGCGT